AAGCCTAAGAACAGAGAACAGACAACAAACACCAAAACAAATTAAAAACAAATATGACCACATCTTCTGCGAGAACGAAAGTATTATGAACAGGTGGAGAGAATATTTCGAAGACCTCCTTACTCAAGAAGACTCTAATAATGAAGTAGATAACACTGAAGAAACCCCACACGAGAACCTAAATCAAAACAAAATAACATAAATTTGTATATTTTGATTTTTTTATCTCAGTTTCGCCAAAGGTTCGAAAACGAACCATTTTTTGTTGTGACACCTGTCAGTATCAAAGTGTAAAATAATTTTTTGATTAAGTTTATTTTACCCTATTTAATAAAATATATTACATATTATTGCAGTATTTCTTTGCTTGGCGGTTAATGGGTTAAACTTGATGAATTAGTTACACCGACAGAAGAGCCAAAATTGACCACACAGCAGGAACAGAAGCCTTCAAGAACACATGCAGGGCACCCGCAAGCTGTTTATACGTATTTTAACCTCTTTTGCTCTCATCACAGCGACATACGCAGTTTAAATACATATAGATATCGAAATAAAAATCTAATACCGTCGTTATCTTTTAGTTCTGTACTATGTTTGGAGTACCAGAACCTCAATTCAATACGAATTTTTACCGTGATGAACGGCATGTAGAATGCAAATTTTGATTCTCTTGTCGACTAGTTCATCATCTGTCAGCTTTGCAAGTTTTAGAAAGCACAGTGTGAGTCTAACATTTTTGATTTCTTTCGATAGTTCAATCTGTCAGTTTGCGTTTAGAAGCACAGTGGTAAAAATTGAATTATTTCGTTATAATCTAGTTATAGTTTGATGAGAGAGATTTTGTTTCGACTCAGAGCAACTGCATATGTCGCTCTGATGAGACCTAAAGAGGTTAAAATACGTATAATCGGCTTGCGGGTGCCCTGCATCAAAATACGAATCTAATACCGTCTTTATGTTTTCTATAAAATTTAGCAATCCTATCATTCCAGTAATCCGGCACCCTCTGGATTTTAGTATTGCCAGATTAGCGAGATTCTACTGTATATTGAAACTTTTATTAAATTGTCAAAGTACATTATGTTTTGAAAATGTTTATAAATATACTAGACCTAATAAAGTTTAAAATTAATTTTAATGGAAGATATAACTCATTCATAATGGATAAAAAGGTCAAACGTGAGACCCACATTTTACACCGCATTAGCGCTGACATGACGCAGCCATGTTTTGTTGACGTAGATCCAGGTCATGCTTACAAACAAACCAAATTGCATATGCCAAATATCATTTGGTTGATTATAAACTATTTTACTGAATTTATTTGGGATATTTTATTCCAGTAAATTTTAATGGTTTTCGGAATATCATTTTAACGAGTGGCGGAAGAATGTTCTAATTAAAAGTTGTAGTTACTGTAAGGTTATTTTATTTTAATTATTCATATTCTAATAGTTTATGGTGTAATTGAACGCCCTGGTCATCTTATTTACAATTTATTATTCCACTGGTTACCTATTAATACAAAATAATAGCTACGAACAAAATTTAGGATTACATATGCTATTTATTGATTTTTAACAAGCATACGACCCTCTAAATCGAACGATGCTATATGAGGTAATGACAATTAGAAATTAGAAATACCAGAAAAGGCTAGTGAGAATGACGCTTAGAAACACGATAGATAAGGTAACAAATGAAGTAAGCTTTTCAATACAGTTCACATTGAAGAAAAGTTTAAAACAAGAGGATCCGCTATCAATGAATTTATTCATCTAATATTAGAACAAATCGTAAGAAGATCAAATTTGAGCACAAATAGGATTATTTTCAATAGCAGGGAACAGCAATTTAAAGAAGAAACGAAAAGATACGGATTAATAATAAACCAAACAAAAACATAATATATGGAAATGAGAGGAGACATAACAAATAATAACAAATATAAAAAATGAAAGGAGCAGAGACTGTCTATAGTTTTGAAAAAGTGTCAGAATTTAAATACTTCGGAATACCCATAACGAACACGGAAAAAGAAGAAAAAGAGATAGATAAAAGATAATTAAAGATGACCCCAGGTGGTGATTTAGTGACGCTGTCGCTGTGCGACAAATAATGTGTTATTACAAACATAATCTCTTGTAAACCTGTACCACGAAGTGGAAGTAATGTTCTTTTTTCACTGTGTTTCGTAAACATTTTTATAAACAATTTTTTATAAAATTTATTCATTTATTCCGATTACTCTGAACGAGTACAAGAAACCAATTCGCTAAGGATTTTTGCTTAGTTGAAGAGATATGACGTGGAATGCAAATTTTAGATTCCCCATGTCTCTAATAACATCTTTATCAACGTCTGTTTTGCCTTGCAATTCTTATAAGGCACAGATTAAAGCAAAAATCTGAATTTGGTTTCGAAAATGAGTTTACGGATTTTAATATCAGATGTCGCTATTTGCGTCCATTCGAAGCCATATTAGAGTTGCTTCTTAAGACCTATTTTCACGTTCAGAGCGACAATGAATTGCCGTTCTGACGAGGCTTATTAGGCCGAAATACGTATAAGCGGCTACATTGGTGCACTATACGTGAAATTAAATCTTAACTGTCTTTTCCTCCTCAATTTTTTTATAAATAATTTTTTTGAATTTGAATATCTACTAGTCCCATCGTAAAGTACTCTTAAAATGTATTTAAAATGGTATATATCTTGTATAATATAAGAAGTTTACAGTTTAAAAGGTATTAAACATTTTAAGTCGAGAAATCGAAGTTTTAGTTTAACTTAGAGTCCTCACAACTTTTTACGTGGTGCATATTTCCGTTGCAGATACATAGATAGTTTGAACCTATTTTAACAATATACTATTGAAACAAATGAAAGTAACTTTATTTTTCGTTGAGGAAACAAGCCAGCGGGCACATGGCGGGCTAGTACGTGTTGATATAACGCTTGCCTCGAGCGGTATTTATATAATAATAAAAAAATATTTAATAAATTAGAAGCCTACGAATAAAAGAAGAAATAAATCAGCATATCAGAAATTATCTAATTGCACTAAAAAATGCCATGTCACAAATTCTCAAAATTCGACTGATCGTTGTGCAGCATCAAATAGCTTTTTCATTCTACGCTGCAACTTACAAAGCATCTGCATATAAAAATATTAAATTTTCCAATCATATATATTATATTTTGAATGGATACATCAATTTAACACCTAGCATAAGAGCTTTGTTTGTTGTTATTTGTTTGTGTTTAAATGACTGCGGACACTAAATCCATTCGCCAAAGAGCTTTAATAATTAAAAAAATGTATATTTTATAGATTTAAAATTAATATTTATAATGGTACATATAATATAACACACTTTTCCATTTTTTATAATGGATATGCCAAAAGCTATAAAAGGAATTTTATCTTTATTAAATTACATCTGTATATGAATATATTATTCTTGTTAATAATTGAAAAACATTTAACTAAAATACCGTTGCCATTTCATATTCAAGCGTGAATATGTGCTGGCCTGCATTAAAATCAATTAAAAATTTAGGACGCTGATCTAGAAAAAAATTTTGGTACTATACTAAATTTTATAGTGTACATTCCATTTATATTTCGCAAATATATTGGTAACCCTTTTATGTTAACAAATTAATTAACGAATTTTCATTATTATTACTATTATTTTATGATTCAAAAATATGCACAAAGTTTAAATGACAGAGAAAAGGAAAAATCACAAAAATTGTTATTTCTACATGTTTGGAAAAGTGTTCCAGACTGATTTAAATATTTTATTTTTATTGTTCATAATATGACCTTATTTAGTTTTAAATCTTTTCTTTAAGTATAAAATATTAGCTAATTATAATGTGGCTTAAGTTCCACATATTTTAAATTCTCGAACTCAAATTGGCTGATTAATTATTGTTGCGATAAATATGACTCATAACTTAAACTGTAAATATATTTCTCCAACAAGTATTTTTTTAGTAGGGAATATCCACGGGAACCCTACGCTAAAACCTGTCTGGTCTCCATGGCGTTCGAAAAAGTTCAAGAAACGTCACTGGCCGGTTCGAGGGAACTCCAGCTAACGGTTAATCAGTATATATGGAGGATATTTTTATAGTAAACAGTTAGTTCAAAAAGAATAATTGTATCAAGTCGAGTTTAAATTCTAATGCGGGAAATAAATGTTGTAAATAGAGTATATACATTAGAATAGTGTCAGTTAGTGTAAGATTATATATAAATTTAATCAAGACTCTAATAAACTAAGTGTAAGAACATTTTGTAATAAATAAAGTTAGTAAATTAGATTTATAAAAATAGTTCATTATTGTCAAGTTCTGAGAATACACTTGTCTGAAAAATGACATGTTTTGAGAACATGTTAAATGACATTTTAAGCTTAATTTATTGCTATTCACCAAGGTCCTAAAAACAAAAGAACCACCCTAGTCGACTTTTGTACATACGTATCTTTTTTCGTATGTTCGGGCACTCTGCAACAACTTCTCGTCCTGAAAGCAAGCATCAAACCAGCATCAAGTGTGCGTCCCGATTACCCTTTGACTCTGAGCGGGGCCCAACCATAGACAAAAGAAACCTCCCTCGGTGTTCGACTGCGCGACAATACACAATTTATGGAATATAAAGAAGCCGTGGATTACGGAGAATCATTCACACTCAGAATAACCCGACCTTGGCTCTTTGTCCCTTTCCTTTGTAGACTTGGTTTTTTATGGAAAAGAAACCAGAAAATCATACATTCCTTACACACATTTTCTTCTAGTGTAGTGAAGAAGCGAGAGGCAGATTTTATTCCAAGTGGTTCTAAACATAAGAGAATTGGCTTTTTTGAACAGTCTTTTGCTGCAAAAGTATGACCGATATTGATGCAGCTGGAATTAGTGAAGCATTGGATACCTTTATGTTTGCGAGCCACGAAATGGCATAAGTGTCTTTATTTCACACTTTAATGGCACTAGCAGAAGAACCTGCAACACAGGAAAAACTCTACGAAGAAATGGTGTCAGTACTAGGCGAACCACAGTCCCCTACATTTCAGGTTCTAAAATATATGCCCCTCCTTGACAGATGTGTTAAAGAAAGTTTGCGACTCTATCCAAGTGTGACGTTGATGGGAAGAGTAGCAGTTGAAGAAATACACACAAAAACAGGTTACATAATTCCAAAGGGCTATTTTATTCATACAATGATACACGATTTACACAGAAGACCCGAACTTTACGAAGATCCCGACAAGTTTAATCCAGATAGGATTCTTTATGAGAATTATAAGTTGTTATAATATTCCGTTCAATGCTGGAAACAGGAACTGTATAGGTCAAAAGTTCGCTATTCTGGAGATCAAAGCGGATCTGTGTGGGATATTAAGGCAGTTTAAACTAAACAGCAGTAACAACAACACGAGTGAAAACTCTTGTCCACAAGCAAGATTTTGTACTACGACCTGAAGCTGGGGTTAATATTAAGTTTATACCTAGAGGACAGTTATTTATATTACTAATTTATAGCTGCCATAGTAGGATTAATAAATTGTGATACTATTCTGTACTAAGTTTTAAATTTTTTATGTATTCTAATCTCTGCCTACTTTACTTACTGTTTTAAAATAAAATCTAATAAACAAGTGTCAAAAAAACAGAAAAATAACCAGCGACCTCATTAAGCTTTATACATGTAAAAAATTGGAGAATGGAATTATATTCATGTATGGTTTTATTTAAGTTGCAAGTGAAATGGACTAATTTTAGTAGTATGGTGAACTGTGGAAATAAATTCTTAGGTAGAATTAAATGTAGAAATGTGTATGAATGAATATAAAGTGTTTTGTTTTAAAATTTAGGGAAAAACCAATAGAGGTGTTTCTTAATGATGGGCATTATAAAAACAGCGATTAACCATATTCAGCTATTGTCTTTCAAATCGGGTAAAGTTTAACAAAGTTAATTTATGCAAAGTCGTTTGCTTAGGTATATCGAAAATTAGAAAATTGTAAATTGGATGAATTTCTGAGGAATTAGAAATTTTACTATTATAGTGTGTTTGAAATACTAAAATACAGGGTGAGTCATGAGGAACTTTACATACTTCTACCATATGTAGAGTCCCTCAGGGAGCATATCATGTGTCCACTAAAAAATGTCAACTCCGCTTCTTTATTAATTAACAGTGTAATTTGTGTAATTGACTATTTATTTCATTTTACTGTAGTGTTTATACGGCTCATTTGATTTTTTTAATTTTTGCATGATACAGTACACTACTATCAAGCATTCGACTGGTATTAGCTAAACTAAAAAATTCCAATACTGGCTTTGGAAAAATTAATTTAGGGATTTGTATTAAATATTACACCCTGTATATATTTTTTTTAAAATGCAATAAGTGATTTTCAAACTACATAAAAAGCCAGTGAAAACGACATATGCGCAATTTTATTAAATTTTTAGTGAACGATCAAATCTTACCAAAAATAGAACAACCATAATGGAGTATCAAATTATAAGGTAATTAATTTAAACAAATGTTATTAATTTCAAACATTTTAATTGAAATGATAAACTGAGTCACTAAACAACAAAATACAGTAACTACTAACAATAACGAAGAACAATTTAAAAAAAAACTAAAAATATGTAGATAAACCCATAAATTAGAACTGGAAGATACAATAATGGTAACAAAATAAAATTAATTCAAAATAGATTTTCGAAACGGAACCCTGCAGCATGTACACATTTTTGTTGCCGAATTGTTAATTGACGTATTGAATTACGAATACTCTGGGGATCGTTTCTAATAGTATTACAACAATGTATAATTCTATCAATTAATTGTTGTCGGATATTAATATTCACTGCGTAAACTAGTTGCTTCAATCGTCCCCAAATATGGTAATCAACGGGATTGAAATCAGGATCTTGAAGGCCACGAAATAGGACCTGCACGTTCTAATTGGTTATTTATGACACCAATCCACACGTTAACCGAAAACCTTAATCGAGAACGACGTTCTCGAATAGCATGGGGATTTTCTTCTGCCCACACATGTGAATTTCGTGAATTATTTATCCCGTCTCTGGTAAATTGGGCTTCATCTGTTAATAGTGTCCTGTATAGCGTTGGTCGATTATTGTTAATCCATCTACAAAATTTCAACCTATCGATCTCATCTCCAGCATGTAGTCGCCGAACCATTTGAATGTGATATGGGTATAGATTATTTTTTTGTAAGACTCTACTTACTTTTGATTGAGTAACATTGATTCCTCGACTTACTTGTCTAGTGCTTATTGTAGGGTTCATAGTAACGGCGTCCATAATGTCATCTTCCTGCGCTTCATCTACATGTCGCTCTGTTGTTCCACTAGGAATAGTGCCATTTTCTCGCAAATAATTAAAAACTGACCCAAATGTTGGATGACTGGGAGTTCGACGATTAGGAAATCTCCTGCGATATTCTCTACTAGCAGCCCTATCATTCCCATTACAGAATCCATAAACAAATATTATGTCTGCATATTCTGCGACAAACGAAACGAAAGTAACAAAAGCTCTACCAAAACTAACACAATTTACTTAACGTAGATATGACTAAAGAAGTATGTATTCTTGTACACATAAATAACAATTGATAATGACAATAAGGACAATGGGTATAAAATATCAAGAAACGTCAAACGGTCAACGCTAACCTTCATTTTAAACTTTTTTAGATTTATTTTTATTTAGTACAGTTGATGCAATGTATTATGATTTGACATAAAATTTTAATCATTTACAATCAACAAAAACTAACACATACAAGAGGTTTGACTTTTTAATCAATTTAATTTATTATTTATCGAAAATAATGCCACAATACGATCTATGAGTAAAAATTTAAAATTGAAAAACAATTGATTCTATCGTAGAGATAATCACAAAGTGACAGTAAAGATGTTAATTTTCTACGTATTAGATTATGTTGTAGGAACTCATTTTAATTAAAATGTTTGAAATTTATAACATTTGTTTAAATTAATACCTTATAATTTGATACTTCATTATGGTTGTTCTATTTTTCTTAAGATTTGATCGTTCACTAAAAATTTAATAAAAGTGCGACAACATTGTCGCATATGTCGTTTTCATTGGCTATTTATGTAGTTTGAAAATCACCTATTGCATTTTAAAATATATATATATATATATATATATATATATATATATAAATATAAATATATATATATATATATAAATATATATATATATATATATATATATATATATATATATATATACAGGGTGTAATATTTAATACGAATTCCTAAATTAATTTTTCCAAAGCCAGTCCTGGAATTTTTTAGTTTAGCTAATACCAGTCGAATGCTTGATAGTAGTGTACTGTATCATGCAAAAATTAAAAAAATCAAATGAGCCGTATAAACACTACAGTAAAATGAAATAAATGGTCAATTACACAAATCACCTTGTTAATTAATAAAGAAGAGGAGTTGACATTTTTTAGTGGCCACATGATATGCTCCCTGAGGGACTCTACATATGGTAGAAGTATGTAAAGTTCCTCATGACTCACCCTGTATAATGGGTTAAAAGAGAAAATGGTAGGAGTAGTCGTATGTTTGATGGAATTTTGGAAGCGTAGAAAAGAGCTGCCTGTTCCTGTTCATGAAAAGAATAACATCTGAAGCTGAAAAAAAACTCTATGCCCGTAAATTTAAACAGTTTAAAAAAAAATAATTTGTGTGAATTAAAAAGTAATTTTGTCTTCGAAAGTGTTTAAAAAGGTGGTAGCAGTTTCGGTTCCATCTGATGAGTAGCAAATTTTAACAGTTTTTGTAAGTACCAATAAATTATCATTGCATCAGGAGAAGCTTAGACTAGGCGAATTTAGTATCCAAAAGAAGATAAGAGTTTTGCTTAGGACGTGAAATATAGATTCGTTTTTGGGAGCAAATCAAAGGAGGCAGTTTTTAGCTAGCGAGTTGACGAGAAAGTATCCGGGTCAATTTCAGAATTGAAAGAAATTGAAAGTTAATCGGTTTATTAAAATTTGAGAACAGTATTACAGATATCTAATTAATAGAGATATTACGTTAAACCTTAAAATCAGATTAATCCGCTGCTACATACTCTCCACATTGCTGTATGGTATGGAGAGCTGGACCCTTACAGAGACATTAGTGAAAAAATTAGAGGCCTTTGAGATGTGGATTTATCAACGAGTATTGCGGAGAAGTTGGGTTGATCGAATAAGAAATGAAATAGTTTTACATCGAATGAAAAAGAGCACAGAAATAATAAAAACCATAAAAATTCGAAAGTTACAATATTTCGGTCATGTAATGAGACATCCAGAGAGGTATAACCTTCTACACCTCATAATACAGGGTAAGATCGCCGGAAGGAGAGGCCCAGGCTGATGAAGAACATCCTGGCTCCGAAATTTCCGAGAATGGTATCAAGAAACTACCGGTAATTTATTTAGAGCCGCCGTAAATAAAGTTATTATTGCCGATATGATCGCCAACGTTCGATAATCGGACAGGGTACTGAAAGAAGAAGAAGTTTTTAAAATAAAAATTTTTAAGATATATCAATATATTTTAATTGTATCGAATATTTTGGTATTTTCTTCAATTAATATTGTATGTAGTGACTATTAAAAGGCAAATATATTTCAGAACTCATAAAAAAACTGAGATTAAATTTGACATCTGATTCATAATTTGACGTGGGTCTCTCTCTTCAATCCTGACCCCCCAGGGGGAGTGTAGTGGTCGACGTGATGTGTATTGTCCGTCTCCAGAGATCTCTGTCTCTGGTCATTTCTTTTAATTCATGCATAGGTCTTTGGCATATTCCTGTAATTTGATCTATCCATCTTGTTGGGGATCTTCCTCGTGATCTTCGGCCTTCTACCTTTCCTTGTATTATGAGTCTTTTCATGTTTTCTGTGTTTGCTCTCATAACATGCCCAAAATATTTTAATTGTTGGAGATGGACTTTACTAGAGAGTCGTTGGCTAACTTTTAGCTTTCTTAAAATTGAATTATTTGTTTTACGGTCGGTCCAAGGAATTCGTAACATTCGTCTCCAACAGAACATTTCAGTTGCGTCTATCTTTCTTCTCTCCGATTGTCTTAGAGTCCAAGATTCACATCCGTAGGTCAGTGTTGGGAATATTAAGCAGTTGATCAACCTCATCTTTATCGCTCTTGAAATTTGACATTCCTTCCATATTTTGGTCATTTTTGCTGTGGCAACTTTTGCTAGATCACA